CTTCTCTAGGCCTGTTTCTTTTTTGTTGCAATCGTCTTACACTTCAGCACCTTGGAGTTCCATTGCACGATGTTAAGTTGAGTTTTAATTTTGAAGGTTTTCTCCACATGGATCACCTGGATACCAAACCCGCCAATATAAGGATTATTAGAAAACCTAAGGTTTTTTTTTATAAAATTTTGATTGAGTTTACTTGTTTGGTTTGTAAAAAAATAATAATTGTGGAGTAGTTTATTAAAAAAAAAAGATATATTATTTATTTCCACCCTGAGGTTTAGCAAAATCCTAAGTTGATACGCTTTTGTTGCATTTATTACAGATTCCCACCCTTAAACTAGCACTGTTAATGACTATTGGAGGTGGTCAGAAACGATGGTTAGTGAGGTCAGCAAGTGATGGTATGGGTTTTGTAGAGGAGATTGTGGGGAGTCCAACGGTGGTCTCGGAAGTGATTTTGGACTTGGGAATTGGCCAAAAAAGCCAAAAACTGTCGCCTTGGATGTAGTTAATGTGAGCCATTTTTTGCTAACATGAGCCCATCTTCTAACAAAGAAGATGTACTTTAGCGTGCTAACATACATCGCGCTATAGTGAAAAGTTGAGAATCTGTTAAAATAAAGGAAACACTGTTATTTTAAGGGTGGGAATCTGGAATAAATGCAACCAGGGGTATCAACTTGGGATTCTGCTAAATCTGAGGTGGGAATATGTCGTTTTCTCTTAGTATTATTCATTATTCAATGTCTTATTGTCTTAATTTATTTGTGGCTGATTTGGTCTTCATCAGACTTGGCAAACGAGTGGGCCAAGTGGAAACCGGTGGGCCGAGTGGGTACAAGCCGAGTCAAAACCGGTACCAGTCCTATGTGCACTTGGTAAATATTATTTTAGCCCCCTAATTGTTTATATATTTGGGGTAATAATAATTATGTAAGGGGGTTTTTTTAATTTATCGAGGGGTGATTTGTAAATTTTTAATTAATTAGTAAATAAATATAGATGAATGGTTATAAATTTATAATGGTTTTAATTCTTTTACCCCCTAAATTTATTATTTATTTCAATATTATAGGGAGGTTTTGGTTATTTGTTAGGAGGTTTTGGTTATTTTGTAAGGGATATTATGAAATTAACCAGACCCAGGTTTGGGACCGGTCCCAGGCTTGGGCCTTGGAGGAGGGACCAGCCTGGGCCTGGTCACCCTTCCCCAAGGCCCGGGATCGATCCTACAAGGACTGATCCTTGGGCTCGAGCTTTTTGCAAACTCTATGTTTATGCATACTATGATACACTTTACACATGGATTAATGTTACCGCATTTCCATAACTATTTCCAAAATATCAATATATCGGATAAGTATCATACATAATTAAACTGTTATGAATGAATCCTAATAATTGAGGATAACTACTATTTTCCTTTTATACTAACCTTCATTTTCTGAGGCTATCCCATTGAATTCCCATCGAATTCTTGTTTTATTGTTTGATTTTAATATATGGACGATATATTTTGAAAAAGAGAAAAAATTAAAAATCAGTTATTTCCTTTTGCTTTTTGCGTATCTATTATTACTTGTTTCAAAGTCTCATCTCTTTATACTGGAAAGTTGATAAAAGAGGGGAAGACTTGATAAAGGCAAACTGAATTTGGCTCAAGTCAACTAATTAGCAATTACTTGCATTAATTAGTCCTATTACATAATTTCAGGTAATTAAACCCAAATGACTCAATAATTCAATATAATATGGAGAAACATCTACCCAACAATCCATGTGAACATGTCCGCATTCCAATAAGAGAAAAAAGCAAAACATAAAGAGAAGAGCTAGCTTTACCAACCCCTTTCCCAATATTTATTTGGAAAATGCTAGACCTACAACTTATTCTTACAAACTTTCTCTCACAACCCCAACGTGGTAGCTCGTAATTAATCAGCTCGTAACGAATCCCACTTGATAAATTGCGACTGACCAATTGTGAGGTGCCATGTCGGGATTGTGAGAGAAAATTTGTGAGAAAGGTTGTAGGTGTAACATTACTCTTCTTATTTTTACAGTAATGCTAAAGGTACAAAGAAATTTGCAAAGATTTATTGTACAAAGTGATGTGGCAGGAGATGAATGAAAAAGTAAATAAAAAAAGTCAAAGTCATCATATTCACTCTTCCATTCATCTCCTTGTCATATCACTTTATACAAAAAATCTTTATAAATTTCTTTGAACCTCTAGCATTACCCTTATTTTAATCATTTTAAGAATGAAGACAATCCTTATCTCCATCAAATCGAATCAGTAAGTAGTACAGGGATTAGATTAAAATATAACGGTGCATTTGATTTAGGAAATATTGTATTACTGGAATGTTATGTTAATGAAAAGATAGATTACCTTGAAAATTACGGGAAATCTTATTGAAAATATGTTTGGTGAGATAGATTAAATTGATGGATGTGTTATATTGAAATGTTTGGTTGGGAGTAATAAAATATTTCTAGAGAGATCCTTTTAATAAATTGCCCTTATATTTTAATATTATTATTATTAATTTGCATTTTATCATTCTAGCTACCAAAAAAATTTAAAATTCAACAAAAACATCTCGGCCACCATCCCATCACCATCGATCGTCGCCGACCACTATCGACAGTTGGCGTAACGATGATTAATCAAATCTGGCCGGTCATGCGCATGGATCTGGTTGGAAACGACCATTTTCGGCCACATCCATGCTGTTTTCAGCCAAATCCGACATGGATATCTGGTTAGAAAAGGTTGATTTGGCGAACGATTGGCCAGTGAGTTCGCCATTCTAGTGACTACCAGTGGCGGTTGGCGATCCTCTTGGGTGGCTAGGGTGGTTATGGTAGGTTCATGTAAATTGTTTTAGGCATTCTTGTCGAAGAGTTTTAATAGTTAGAAGTAAAACTGTAATAAAAATAAGATTACCAAGTAATATAAGAAAACCTAAAAAGAGGGTGGTATTCAGATTACCACCTATATAATCAATAGTGATTATTGAATATTGAAGATTACGAGAACTTTATATTACTTGACAATCAAACATGATAATATCAGTAATATAAGATGACATTATTGGAGTAATCTTATATAACCTCCAACCAAACAGCCTCTAAGTTTATACAATAATCATTTAGAAGCCACTGTTTCTAAATCTTCACCAACAAGAATTTCTTGGTGATGTAAGTTTTATTTTGATAAAAGTTAAAGACTAATACTATGAAATTCATATTTTAATCTAAAAAAAAATATTCTATTTTTAAGTTTTATTTTGATAAAAGTTAAAGACTAATACTATGAAATTCATATTTTAATCTAAAAAAAATTCTATTTTTAAATAAATCTTATAAGAATATTAAACACATAATTAAAATAGATAATAATACCCTTTTTGTTTTGTTTTTTAATTTTTTTTCCGGATATCTGTAGAATGTAGATACTAGCAGGTATACCCAGTCCGGCCCCCCCCAAAAAAAAAAAAAAAAAAAAAGGTAAATTCGGATACGGGTATTGTTTCCACATGTCCTATAGGCTATAGATATATTAACCTCTACCTATTTGAAATACATGGATACCGGTGGACCACGGGTACAATGCCCATTTTGCCGGTGTAGTCTTAATCAGTTCATCAAGAAGGTTATATACTTGTATTGTTTATTTTTGCTGGGTGTGGAGTTGTGGAGTGTGGACTGGTGGGCACTAATTAGTAATTTATTTATTACGAGAAAAAGAGCTGGCATAACACGTGAAAAAGAAGAGTTGACATAACACGTCACTAAGGATAGAGTAAACGCCATATTCCCACCCAAGGTTTGATGAAATCTCAGGTTGGTACTGCAAGTTTCATTTATTCCAGATTCCCACCCTTAAAGTAACAGAAAATGGTTAGATATAACGGCTTAGGGATAAATTGGTCATTTCACAGAGGAGGCGCACATTAGCAGATCGTCTCCCCTAACAAAGCTCCGGCACACGTTAGCAACATCACTGTCGACGTTTTTCGCATTTTTCCGGTGATTCTTCCACCCAAAATCACCCTTGCCAACACCATTCAAACCGTCATCCTCCCCTCTACAAAACTTTACCCTTGACAGCCCCTCATCACCCGCCGATCGCCAGCCACAACAGCCACCACATGCGACTGGTTTTCGTCGGTCTCCACCGGCGAATGGCCACTAAACGCTTGCTGGGACAGAGGGCTTTTGAAGATTAGGAGATTCTGGTTGTAGTGGTGACGTCGAATTAGATTTTCGTCATCGGAATCGATCTGAATCTAGCGAAGAACGATGAAAACCTAAGCCTAACAGCACCGACGATTGGAGGGCCCATTGAGTCAGGAATCAGAGGGGTTTTGGATGACGGATGATGGGGAAGGTGATGGAGGTGACTAGGGGTTTTGCCGCCATCGGAAATAGCCCAGATCCGATGAAAGCCAAGACGATGCACAGTCACTGAGGGTGTAATTAAAATAATTTCAACATAAAATGGTTAATTTTATAATTTTAATAATTTAGAGGTTAAAACATGATTTATTAATTTAGGGTTAAGGGTATTATGGTAATTGTATCCTCACTACCCTAAAAAATATTAATAGTATTATTTTAAGGGTGAAAATTTGGAATAAATAAAACTTGTAGTACCAACGGGATTTCGTCAAACGTTGGGTGGGAATATGTGGTTTACTCCTAAGGATGAAGGGTAAATTCCGATATGTCACGTGAAACTCTGACTGTTAGCGTTTTATCCCATGGTTTTATTGGGGTTGGGGTTGGGGTTGGGGTTGGGGTTGGTCTTTACAAAATCATAAGAGATTCAATTTCATTCCAGCGTCGCTTTTATGGACTTTACATGGATCGCTTTTGACTACTTATCTCCCTTCTTGTTCTTGGAAACTTACGACTCACTGTCTCCTTTCTAAAAATATGTTTCCCCAATAAGTTTTCTTCCAAACTAATATCTTTCAGTTTTTGTCCTTTCCATGGCCAACTTTCTCATATTTTTCTCTGCTCTCTTGTTTCTCTCCACTCCAGTATCATCCCAACTCAATGAACTCTTTTTTCCGGGATTCAAAGATTTGAGCACCGACATAACCTTACGTCGAGAAGCAAAAATAAGGAAAAGTGGCATTCTTTGCTTAACAAACTATACCTCTCGTGTACAGGGTCAAGCCTTCCATAGCTCGCCGATCCAGTTCAAGAACTACACAAATGGACAAGTCTTTTCTTTCTCTACCTCTTTTGCTCTAGGTATTGTCCCTGAATATCCAGAACTTGGTGGCCATGGCCTCGCCTTCACGATCTCAACATCTAAAGACCTCATAGGTCTTCCAAGTCAGTACCTAGGCCTCTTTAATTTAACCAATTTGGGAAACTTTTCAGATCATTTATTTGCTGTTGAGTTTGATACAGTTCAAGATTTTGAGTTCGGAGATATTGACGACAACCATGTTGGCATCGACATCAACAGCTTGAATTCGAATGTCTCTTCAACTGCAGCCTACTTCGATGACAGTTCAACGAAACATAATTTGAATCTCAAGAGTGGAGCACCAATCCTGGCTTGGATCGATTACGATGCATCTGAAAATTTGTTAAATGTCACCATCTCTCCAAATTCTTCCAGACCAAAATTGCCCCTCTTGTCTTTTAACGTCAATCTTTCGGCAATCTTTCATGAGTTCATGTATATTGGCTTCTCTTCTGCAACAGGACTGCTTGCTAGTTCTCATTATATTTTAGGCTGGAGTTTTAAAATCAATGGAGAAGCTAGAGCTCTTGATCTCTCTTTCCTTCCTCCAATCCCGGACAAGAAAAAGCAGACAGGTTTGTTGATTTGCCGTTGAATATCGAATAGTAATGTTTACAAAACTGTAGAAGTAGAACGCGGCAACGCCTTTTTTCGTTGTCGACCTTTGTTTTAGACCCACCAGTACAATTTCTTTGCTCCGCCACTGCTTGGTTTCCATTTTGAAAAAAACGAAATATCTATCAATAAAATATTACATAAAGTAGCGTTAGCAATAAAGTATTTACAAATACCAAACAAAAACTTTTTAATTCAAGAAATATATCTTTTACTGTGTGTTCACTTGAAAAACAACAAACCTAAAATCAAATTAACAAGTCCTTAGTAAGGATTATTATTAATCAGAATCTACCTCTTTCTTAGTGTTTTTAGTCGAAATTCTATTTCTCCAGTTTAGCATGGACTATATTATTAATATTTCAAAGAAAACTTTTATGAGAGAATTATTATTATTATTTTGTAAACAGGATATTCGTCTGTTGAATTGGAGGGTTATTTCCTCATGAATCCCAGTACTCATCCTCTTTATAATTTATAAAATGGATTAACTGTCCCTTGTTCACTTGTTTTCATTTTAGATTTAGTGTATACTTGTATTTTGAGTATAATTAGCTCCAAGCTAGGTTTATTTAGGAGTTGCTAGGAATAAATATTATTATTATTATAGACCCTCTTTGGGATATTATTCAATTTCATATATAATTTCGTACTATAGATCCTCTTGAGATTATTAAACCTAACTAATTACGAAGTATAAAAACCCTTTAATAAGATATTTAAAACTTTCTAAAATAGTAAATTGATGTGGATAGAATTAAACGCCTAGGTAAAATAATTGAGTTTGATGAGAACCCAATGAAAAAATATTGTAATTTTAATTTCTGTATCTTACTACATACAAACTTAATTGAGTAAATAAAAATGGTCAAAGAAACGGATCAAGACAATATTTTTATACAAGTAAATGATTTTGCTATTGGGTGCTGCAGTTCCTGAGATATTGAAATGGACGGGGATTTCACTTGCTATCGTGGTTGGATTAATCGTTATGCTCGTCTTGGGTATCTTTTTCTTCATTAGATGGCGAACATTTCGACTAGAAGGTAATATATACAACAAATTAACCATATATATATATATGGAATGAAGAGCAAATAAATATGATTAAATATTTTATTGAATGCCAAGCTGATCAAACTTTTTCTTTTCAATTTCCAAACAGCAAAGTTTATGTTTGACTTAATGAGTGAAGCAAAGGAGCTTGAGATCGATGGAAAGAAAGGCGTCAATTTGAAAGTATATAAAGTGTCATCCATTATGCTAGCTACAGATAATTTCTCATCTGAAACTAAACTTGGAGAGGGTGGTTTTGGACCTGTTTACAAGGTATATTTGCTTTCACTAAAGGCTTATGTCTAACATATCAAGCAATGACTATTTATTATTGTTCAGGGTTTGTTGCCTGACGGGCAAGAGGTAGCAATAAAGAGGCTATCAGGAAGATCCAAACAAGGCCTAGTGGAGTTCAAGAATGAACTTCTAATTGTAGCTAAATTACAGCACACCAATCTGGTGCGGCTCTTGGGTTTCTGCATTCAAGGGGAAGAGAAAATATTGGTCTATGAATACATGCCAAATAAAAGCTTGGACACATATATTTTTGGTATATATGCTTATTTCTTTAGCTATCTATGCTTGGTTTCTTCACATTATTGAAACTTCAGCTTGATTATTATGTTACACGTTCCTCAAACCTTTCTTTTTTCATTATGACAGATGAATCTAAAAGGAAGTTGTTTGATTGGAACCAATATTTTAATATCATTGAAGAAATAGCTCAAGGATTACTTTATCTACATAAGTATTCAAGACTAAAAATAATTCATAGAGACTTGAAAGCCGGCAATATATTACTTGACAAAAATATGAATCCCAAAATATCTGATTTTGGTATGGCAATAGTGTTTACCACAACTCACACTGAAGCAAATACTAATAGAGTTGTAGGTACACGGTGAGTAAACTATAAATTTAAGAACCTCTCTTTGAATTTGTGTAGAAATTAAAGTTTGCTGCTCTAATGAACTTGATTATTCATTTTTTTTTAACATAATAACTAGTTCTACTTTATGAATGAAATCTAGTGGTTATATGGCTCCTGAATACGCTATAGGTGGCATCTTCTATGAGAAATCTGATGTATTCAGTTTCGGAGTTTTAATTTTGGAGATCATAAGTGGTAGGAGGTCCAACAACAATATCTTTTACGATGGTCAACCTCTCAACCTCGTTGCATATGTAAGTTCATAATGTGGTACTGCTGTTATTTTTATTTGTTAAAATTACTAACCTCTGTTTATCTCAATGTTTAATATTCAATGGTTTTGACACAGGCATGGCAGTTGTGGAAAGAAGGTGTAGCCATAGAACTAATGAATCCAACACTACATGATTCATATTGTGAAGAGCAAGTTTTGAAATGCATTAACTTGGCTTTGCTTTGTGTTGAACACAATCCAATGGACAGACCTAATTTTTTGGTTGTTATTTCTTTGTTATTAGCAAGTGAAGGTGTAAAATTACCAGTGCCAAAACAGCCTGCATTTTCCATTGAAAGAAAGATTGTTGTAGGCAGTGCGAGTGGAATAAACATGGCAGAGAATACAATAAATAACTTAACTATATCTGTGATGGATCCACGATGAAGGCTTGGTCAGGTACATTTTTTCTTACATAATTTTTTTTTTTTTTCTTTTATTATTTTTTTTTTTTATTTTTTTTTTTTTGGTTTTTAATTTTTGTCCTTTTTTTTTTTTTAATTGTTGTCTTGCAGGCACTAAAGGTCGAAGCAGGCATAATATTGATATGGGAAGTTGCGGAAGTAATTACTGCCAATGGAAGAAAGTGAAATAACTGAGTTTTCCAACCTGTTGATGTGTCAAGACAAGTCAGCTCCAACTGGTGATGACTCAAGGACTAATGGAGCAGACATGACAGCTCATAGTATAACGTTCTGTTGATAGGAGAACAAGACATGAATCGAGTAATTAGTTTTCCTAAGTTGTGTAAATCCGACTTCTTTTCTTTTTATTTTCCTCAATAAGGAGAGTAGCAGTAATAAGAGGGATTCGTTTTCTTTCAATGTTTTTCTGATTAGATATTGCATTTATCTGTGAAGCTGATAGAAAACTACTCCCAAATTGATAGGAATTGGACTGGACAGTAGGTCCTTGATAAGAATTGGGCTAGGACCAACTCTCAAATTGATAGGAATTAGACTAGATAATGGGCTTTTGATAGGAAGGCTTGGATTGAACTTTATTTGGAAAACCAGCTTGTCAAGGGAGGGCACCCAACTCCTTATAAACCACATACCTACCCCTTTTCCCTCTCAAGATGAGATCCTAAGATTCTCATATGCTTCGAGACCCAACTTCCACATTGCACCACTTTGGACAACTTCACTCTGGGTGGCCTATTCTGGGCCACTTACGACCTTTCTCTCTTGGCCTACTCTCCCAAGCTACCTCTTCCCAAGTAGCCCCATGTCGGCCCACTCTGGACAGCTTCACTCTGGGCTACTTATGGCATTTCTCTCTTGACCTACTCTCCCAGGTCACCTCTTCTGAAACATGGGCTTAAACAAGTTTTAGCTATGATTCTCAGGTAGCCTTTTCCCAGGTTACCCTTTCTAGAACACAGGCTAGGGTTTGACTCTAATATCTTTTGACAGAAACCTACTCTCAAATTAATAGGAATTGGACTGATAGTGGGCCTTTTATGAGATTGGATAGAACTCTCATTGGAAGCTTGCAAGAGAGAGCATCTAATTCCTTATAAACCACATGTCTACCCTTTCCCCCTATGAAGGTAGGATCCTAAGAGAAGCTTTCCAACTCATAATAATAAAACCATTCTTATACAGTTATGAAATAGTTGGAATTTCCACGAGNGCAGAAGTAATTACTGCCAATGGAAGAAAGTGAAATAACTGAGTTTTCCAACCTGTTGATGTGTCAAGACAAGTCAGCTCCAACTGGTGATGACTCAAGGACTAATGAAGCAGACATGACAGCTCATAGTATAACGTTCTGTTGATAGGAGAACAAGGCATGAATCGAGTAATTAGTTTTCCTAAGTTGTGTAAATCTGACTTCTTTTCTTTTTATATTCCTCAATAAGGAGAATAGCAATAATAAGAGGGATTCGTTTTCTTTCAATGTTTTTCTGATTAGATATTGCATTTATCCGTGAAGCTGATAGAAACCTACTCCCAAATTGATAGGAATTGGACCGGACAGTAGGTCTTTGATAAGAATTGGGTTAGGACCAACTGTCAAATTGATAGGAATTAGACTAGATAATGGGCTTTTGATAGGAATTGGGTTGGGCAATGATCTTTTTGTAGGCTTGGATAGAACTTTATTTGGAAAACCAGCTTGCCAAGGGAGGGCACCCAACTCCTTATAAACCACATACCTACCCCTTTTCCCTCTCAAGATGGGATCCTAAGATTCTCATATGCTTCAAGACCCAACTTCCACATTGCACCACTTTAGACAACTTCACTCTGGGTGGCCTACTCTGGGCCACTTACGACCTTTCTCTCTTGGCCTACTCTCCCAAGCTACCTCTTCCCAAGTAGCCCCATGTTGGCCCACTCTGGACAGCTTCACTCTAGGCTACTTATGGCATTTCTCTCTTGACCTACTCTCCCAGGTCACCTCTTCTGAAACATGGGCTTAAACAAGGTTTAGCTATGATTCTCAAGTAGCCTTTTCCCAGGTTACCCTTTCTAGAACACAGGCTAGGGTTTGACTCTGATATCTTTTGACAGAAACCTACTCTCAAATTAATAGGAATTGGACTGATAGTGGGCCTTTTGTGATATTGGATAGAATTCTCATTGGAAGCTTGCAAGAGAGAGCATCTAATTCCTTATAAACCATATGTCTACCCTTTCCCCCTATGACAGTAGGATCCTAAGAGAAGCTTTCCAACTCATAATAATGAAAACCATTCTTATACAGTTATGAAATAGTTGGAATTTCCACGAGATTGTTTACACATTTTTAAGAATTGTTTCCATCAAATCTAATAAATAGAACACTATTTCTATCATACCTGTTTTTGTATCTGAATGGTTGAACTTCATTATCTTGGATCAAAAGTCTTCTAATGGAAATGGAGGCACACACGTACGGTAAGTAAAGCATAGAGTTAAGAACTCTAACTCTTATCTTCTAGTAGAGAGGAAGTTAATTTGATGCTAAGCAATGAGTTATTATGAAAATACAAAAGGAAAGGAGTAACACCTTGACCCAGCAATCAGACTACACCTGGAATCCAATCAGCTCAATCAGAGAACAACACCAAGCCATAGCAATAGATGATCACACTGCAATGCAGAAGCAAATCTGTTACATGAGCTGTACAAGGACAACTCACCTAGAACATAAAAGAATCTTTGATTTTCCTTGTAGGAAGAATTCTCTTTTGTAAAAACCGTGTATATATTAATTCCTAAGATATATGAAAAAGTTGAGTTCTGAGTGCTAATATTCTGGGTTTTTGCTCTCAATTTTCTGTTCATGAACTCTGCATATTTTCTTTTGATAGCCAAAGTATAAAAACTCACGTGGTATCAGGGCAGGTTTGAATCAAAATCAAAGAATATAGCACTAATGCAAATGCTTCATCAGCATCATCACAAAACAATTTTTCCTCAGCTTCATTTAATTTCACAGTTCCAATAAAATTAGAACTTTACAATTTCAAAACCCGGAAAACTCAAGTCAACCTCCAACCAGGGCCGGCTCAAGGGGTAGCTAGAGGCATCTGCCTAGGGCCCCCAAAAAATAGGGCAAAAAAGGGCCAATTTTTTTATTATTATTTTTTAATATATTATAAAAATAAAAATAGTATATAATTTGAAATAATCCCCCACCGGTCATCGTCCATCTCTCCTAGTGATTTTGCATCTCAAAAGGCAAGAAAATAAATTTGAAATAATTTTTTAAATATATGTTTATATTATTAGAAGGCTCTCAAAGTAACTTTTGCCTAAGGTCACAAATATTCTTAAGATGGCTCTACCTCTAACCAAAGCTAATGATTTGGAGAGCCTGATTGATGGAACAAGGCTTATGCTAAATCCATTTATTACACAAAATCGAAGAACAGAAAATGCTATTAGAGTTCAAAATCCAGAATATGAAATCTGGAAAAAACAGGACCAAACCTTACTCGGATGGTTGCTATCTATTGACTTTCCATACCTCTTTGTATTTGCTTTCCTAGTATATCTTGATTTAGTTTCCTCTTTGTATTTGCTTTCCTAGTATATCTTGATTTAGTTTCCTCCTATTTTGTTGATTTAATTTCTTGTTCTGTAATCCCGAAGTCAATAGGATTATTCCATGTAATTTCCCTTATAGTCAGGGACTGCTGTATTATATAAACCAATTTTGGTTGATTAATAAAAAAAAACGAATTAACACAAAATTGATATGGTATCAGAGCAGGCCATCTAGGGCACGCTTCTCCTCATCATGTCTGATGATTCTAGCTAACATTCTTCTGCAAAAACCCAATCAATCACCGCAAACACCAAACAAACCATGAATGATTTATCATCCCCATATGTCTTACACCCATCTGACA